CATACGTGTGTTACACTACTACTGATAGCGTTGCGTTACCAGCTATAAAACTACAACGTAACGTTTCGTTACTTTAAATATTGCACTTTTTGCGGAACTCAAGTGTTTTTTTCTTTTTCCCAATTCCAGTCTCAAGGAACAATTTTTACAAAGTGGACAATACAATTTACGATACAATACTTACAGCAATGCTACTAATTGCGTAGCCTGCAGAGCAGGCGTAATTTGGCGAGCGAGTGCGCAGTATCTTCTCAACAAAAATGGTAGCGGAAGGCAGGGCAGAAAGAGATTTGTACCAAGCAGCCGACCCCTACTCCTACCGTCCACTCTAACTCCAAATTAAACATGGCTGATCGGATAAACGATCGCGAGCTAATAGCGTTTGCTCGCACCAATAAGACGCTTGCACTGCAGGCTACTAATTCCGTTACCATCATAGCAATCATGTCAGAACCTTATAAGCTTCTGTCAATATTCATTGCAGGCTATGGTAGCGGAATTATTGCCAAGTATGCCATATCGATCTAGTAGCCTGAATTAATCCTTTAAACCCTGACCAGCATCTAATTTCTCCCTAAGGTCATAAGAATGAAGGAAATGATCACCAACAAAAAAGCTTTTGGTCCGTAAACAAATTCTCCTTGTCAGCACCTTAGGATATGTATAAAGAACAGTATGGAGAATATGTATAATGACATTAGGGTGTAAAGGGTTAATCGCCAAGAGAGTATGTGATGGGGCATATTTCTACATTATTGATTACCATGCATGGAGATCCTCTGTGGAGCAGATATTGCTTAGTGCCCAACCTTAAATTCAAGAGTAACCACCAGGGAGTATGGTGCCATTCAAGGGACGACTCTCAAGGAACTATTTCCAATAGTCTGGCATAAATGGAGAAGATCTTATTTGAACTTACCTTGTGAAAAAGTCAGTGAGTCGAGTGAGGCATGAACTACGTTTGAAGGGAAAAATTCTCGGTTATTATGCCAAATGGGTCTTTTTATATTATATAGAGGGCAAAGTAGACTACATGAGCAAAACTGAGCTAAACTTCCCTATATTAACTTAAGAAACCCACACGATACAAAGGAACAACCCTTCTAGCGAGGTAAGTCTTCTCTATTATTCATAACTGGCTCGGTTTTCGAGGCAGAAAGCACAAAACTGAAAGCAGGTTATGTTATATTAGATATCTTGGTTATCCCAAGGCCTGGATTAGAAGCCTCCCTCTCTGTCCTATTATTTTCTAGAGGTATAACAGAAATTCAAAAAAGCTTGACTCAACACTATAGAACATCTTACAAAATCTAAGTACGGGGTAGTAAAACGCCAGTAACTTCAAGCACTGAAATTCCAGGGTACCATGCTCATTTAGAAGAATGGGACGAAAAGCCATGTAAGGTTAACCCTATAAACCTTACAAGTGATCAGCATTTAATTTCTCCTCGCAGTAATACTGTAAGCAGACCACATTATCATAATATGTAGAGTATGGATGTTGGTATGTAAAGAGTTAAACTGACACTTCCATAGTAATGTTGACCGAATGTTCTCAAATATCTCACTAGCACTGCTTTCCTGGGCCCAGTTGTTCGAAGGTTGATTAGCGCTAACCAAAGGTTAAATTTTAATCTGAATTTCTTTATTCCTTTATTCAAATGCCTTTTTAGGATAGTTTCTGGTGTTCTTTATAGAGCATCAAATAATCATATTCGTGACAAAAAGAATCCGACTGAATTTTCTCTTAAAGCCATCAGATCTGAAATCAGATTTCACACTAACCCAGGGTTATCTTAACCTAGCTTTGAACAACCCGGCCCTGGTCTCTAACTGGTAAATCGTTCATTTTAACCAAAAAAATATTGGCTTTTTGCCATAATTAGCAATTTGGCTAAACTAGAAACTACGCATATTTGATTTTAGTATAAACGAAAGCACTGCGTAACTACTTTTCCTGTTGTGGATTGACTTCTAGTGCAGATAAAAAGATTAGATCTAAACTTTTATTATAACCAATGAATAAGTTGCCAGTAATCAGATCCTTGTGTTTGCGCAAAGATTTCTGGGATCGCCACGGGGCAAACATTACACGTTAGAAGAAAATATATGGCGAAGGATTGTTTCGATGTCCAAAAAAAACCTTATTGTAGAGAGGTCAACGCTTTTTTCGCCGCAGTGTTATCATAAATAGATTAAGATAATGTTGATACGAGGGAAGAGAAAGTTCTCGTTAGCATTAGCACGAAATATCTTATAAAATATACCGATTTCTCTCCCAGCGTGAGGTCCATTGTGGAATCGTCATCGCGTAATGGTCTTGACATATTACAAAAGTAGCCATAAATCACAAGGAACTAACTCACTTAAGTCTTTTTAGTTGTATTCTTGCATAAACAAATTACTATCTCGGAAATTGAAATATACTTCCTCAAAGGAGAGAAGTCGTCGTCAGCGGGGATGAAAATTGTTTAACCGAGCTGTTGGTCTTAAGTTAAAAAGCGATGAAAAACAAAAGGAAATCCCTTGGTGAAGTGATGGCTAGTCGAGAAAAATCCTAATGTTTTTGAGCTGCCACTTTTCTTCTCGAGCTCTTCAGAGAATCTTGTTAGGAAAAGTAAGATCATGGGAACTCCGGAAGAAAATGTGGACATGCAATCAGTTCTGCATCGCTCCTTTAGCGACCCATTTGTACCTTTTAATCATCGCATAAGAAAAGGTTCAGTTTTGAACCGACAATCAGCGCTTTCGTTCTCATTGATCACAACAAAGAGGCAATGTAGGTGTTTAATCACTTAATGTATCACGATTATATCATTTTAATTTCCTGCTTCCTCGAGGTAGCTGTTGTAGCATTCTTTTTTTTTTTCTTGTTTTACCAAGCTAAGAGAAAAGATAGCAGTGGTAACACCTGTAAATAAAACAGAAAATGCCTCATTGAGTTATTTCTTGGCAAATTATAATTGATATTTGTGAATTTCATAATTCTTGCGCATGGAGAAAAGGTAACCGCTAAATTTTACTACATATTTTACGGTTGTTTGAACAAAATTTCGTGCAACCCTTGTATCGATAATACCCGCACCCATTTCTGATTTAACAGTTGCAGTGTTTGCTCGGTGGCGATCCCAGAAAGCTTTGCGCAAACGCAAGGATCCGATTACTTGCAACTCATTCATTATTCCTATTAAAACCTGAAAATAGGTGGTCTGAGACTGCATGTGACTACTGATATGGCACAATTTTTATAGCACTGAAAAAACCAAAGGTTGTAAAATAACGTTAGAAGGTAGTGTTGCTGAAGATTTGTATTCACATTCAAAACAGAAAACCTGTGATTCAAGAGTTTAGTGACTAATTGACGTGTAACCAAGAATGAAATAGTAAAAATTAATCGTATTAATAATGATAATAGTAATAGTGATAACAGTAGAAATGCTGCTTTTAATTTTTTCTGTTAATCATGAAAAAGATATTGCAATTCCATTTTTGGCAGACTTAAGTTTCAACAAGGCATTCCATGTTTTAGGATATTCCGTCATTCTGTGTTTTAAGACTTTCCGCCATTCCACCGATCCGGCATGCCACCGTTCTACCGTTCCTCCATTCTATCATTTCGCGGAATGGGTCATGTCATCTTGTTGCACTCAAGGCATCGTAATTTCGCATTTTGTGCGCTTCGCAAATTTAGCGGCTCTTTTGGCAACTCCCTTTAAAGAAAAAAGGTTCCTCTAAGTTACTCGTGAGGTGCTGTTCACATTTATTAAGATATTTCTGTAGGAAAAAGTTTTAATTTGTTTTGTTTTGTTTTTTTTAATCATGCGTCGGCGAGAGGCCATCGTGAAATGATTGAGATGTTCATTGTCTTTCATCCTGTCATGGGAAGAACTGCAAATATTACACCTTAAGTTTTGTTAGGCGCAATCTAGTGAGAATGTGGAGCTACGAAGTCGAAGTCTTCTCTCTCCCCCTCCCGCCATGAGACCCGTCGGTTTTAACTACTTTTCTGAAACCAAAATCTTTCAACGGCTGGACCACTTATTAATGCTCAACACGAGGTATCAAAATTTATCTATCTTGAAATATCGCCTATCTTAACGAGAGTCTTATTGAGGCTGAGATATTTCATATACGACAGTGTAAGTCAGGTATCTTATATCCCAAACACGTTAAGTGATTGCTGCTGTTTTACCTCGTTTATGAACATGAGACCTATGCGTGGATCCATTCGAAGCTTCAACATCAATCCCTCGTGTATTTGAACTTTTTAAGATTGGATCGTCCAAATTCCAACCAAAATTGCGTTCAAATGCCCCGTCCTACAGTAAACAATTTGTGTGATCAGCGAATGTTGTTAAGTTAAGTATTGGTTTTTGGTGCTGCTGTTGGGTTTCCTGCTTGTAAGCATCTACGAAATTAAAATCGTCTCTCTAAGCCATTCGGTCACGAAAGCGGACTCTATACCTTTTAAGACATAGATATTTCGCTGGAAAGACTTCGCACCCCCGGTTCAAATGCCCCACCCCACCGAGGCAAGGTTCAAATTCCCCACCACCCGGGCACAGACGATGGTCAACTATCCGTAGGTTGCCCGGGGGGGGTGTTAAAGTATTATGCGTTCCGATTGGCACTAACATTTTTTTGGTAGCATTCACATCTATTCAGCTTCTTCCCAGCTCCCGGTAAAAAAAACCCGACAGGATCTGAAACGCGGTTTTTCCTTTCATTTTAGACGAAAACGACGATAATGAAGATTATTCCGCTTATTGGGAAGAATATATGAAGAGATTCCACATCTTCATGAAGGTTAGTGGGCCCAAATTTATGAATTGCCCTTCAACGAAGCCCTCTTATTAAGTTTTTTTGTTTGATTTAAAAAAGACTACGCCCTTAAATTTATCGAGGATGACCACTTTTGCGTTCCCTGTGCATATTTCATGAGTGATTAGGTCTAAGCAGCTGTTTAGGGCTGTAAATTGTTAAGAAAATAGTTCTCAGGAAAATCTTTAAGGGATTTCAAAGTTTGATGTTAGCTGATATTAGCTTAAGCCCTCCTCCCTTGAATCAACATTCTTTAAGATCCTCAATGATCTCATTCTTTTTCGAAGGGAAATGGTCGGTATCCTTTTAAATACGGAGTTTCGCTGCGGCAACGTCCTCATAAAGGAAAAGCGATTCCACAAGATGTCCGTATGAAATTAATGAAGCTGCTAGACATCGAGTCCAAGCCCGGAAACTGGAGGTATCTGGCTGAACGTTTGGGGGCATCTTACTTAGATGTACAATTCCTGGAAAGCCGTAACCGTGAGTCACCAACGCAACACGTCCTCAACGTATTCGAAACAATGAACAAGCCTTTAACTTTTCTGAGAGACGTCTTCATTGACCTTGACCGCCACGATGTTGTTACTGTGTTAAATGACGAGATTAATTGATGCCAAATAGGCCACTGGTCAGGGAATGAGCCCACACTCCTCCCGCTCCTCCTCAACGAAATCGATTGGATTCGTAATGGCTGTTTAAGACACAAGACAGCGAGATCCACTTTGACCTTACCGCACAGACGTTGTTGTTGTGTTAAATTACGAGATAAATTAATTCCGAGAAGGCCGCTGTTTAGGGAATGAGACCACAAAGAAATCGAGCTTGGATCCGCAGTGGATGTTAAAGACATAGGACAGTATCAACTCAACGCTCAGTGCAGTCCTCATGTTGCTCTTTTCATAAGGGATATATGTTCCTGATTGTCATCTTGATGACGTTAGCGTTGTTACAGGAAAATTTATTGATTTTTCCGTGTGTTTGACTGGAACATACTAACGCATAAACTTTTCATGTTAGCCGTTTTCGATTTATTCAAGTTTTTTCGCTCTAGTATTTCAAAGAGTATAGAAAAGCCACAGAAGCTTTTGAATCGCCAACTATTATATTATTACTTATTACAAATGTGCTTTTATGAAAGGTTTTGGTTTTTTTGATACGCAATAATTATAGCAGCAGAACAAGAAAAGCAGAGAATGCAAATAAATCCATTTTCATGTTAACCATTTTCGATTTATTCAAATTGTTTCGCTTAAGTATTTCAAAAAATATAGAAAAGCCACAGTAGTTATTGAATTGCCAACTATTATATTATTGCTTATTACAAATATGCTGTTATAATAGGTTTTCTTTTTGATACGCAATAAGGATAGCAGTAGAATAAGAGAAACAGGGAGTAAAAATAAATTCATTTTGAACGTTACTAGGCGTCTGAGTGTTTATTGTGGCGACAAATTTTGGCATTAATTGAAATCATTGTAGTTTCCTCGAATGTGATTGGTGTAGGAACTCCTTCATTTTCAGTGTATCCAGACGGTCGGTCGTAATTGGGCACTTCTAATCGGACAGTTACATCAGCCAATCACACCGTGTATATTGAAATGAATCTGCCAATCACATAATTGATTACAGTAAGTATAGCAGCAACTTACCACGCAAAGCTGAGGATTTCCAAAACCCGAGGAATTTAATACATTCGGTAATATCCATGCTGCAGATGTTTTCTCTTATTTTGGAGAAAAGATTAAAGTGTTACTCTTACTTTTCTGGTAGTTTGACATTTTATGATACGAAAACTGATCTTCCGTGCTGTAGACAACAAAAGTCGTCGAGGTTTGTTGGGTCACCACGAGTCAATCGATCAAAGAGGCGTCCAAGACATGGTAAATTCCCCAAAACAACTAAGAATGCACATTTTATGATTGGAAAGCCTAATCGTCTCTCTTTATTCGTAATGGGAAAATTCTACATTACAGCTGAACTCATGCTGGACAGAAAATTGGCTCAGCCACTATAAGGTAGGCCTCTTTACTCACTTACATTTTGTCTTTATTCGCACAATCGCCTTTCTCTGACCTGAATCGATAACGTCTTCTAAGAAAACGGTTTGTGTATTTAATAATACGAGTGGACCTAAGATTTGATATAAGTGAAATCATTTGATGTGAAAACGTATATGGATCTATGTTAGTATCTGACCAACTGAGTACCTACCCCTCCCCTAGCACAAAAACAGCTCACTGATAACAAGTATGGGTTAGGGCTGGGTTAGGGGAGGGGTTGGTGAGCCGTTGTTCAGACACTGACACTGATCTAATACTCTGTACAAGCAAGTTGGACAGCTCGTGGTCTTGTCTCAACGACATACAGGAAAGAACTTTGATAACGTTAGAATTGATTGTCTTCTGTCCGATATATCAGTTGCTGTTTGTTGTGTTGTTAATTTCTGAATATCATCATTGCAACCAAGTAGTCTAACCGCTTCTTTGATCTGACAGTTTAAAGTGGTTTGTTGTTGCTAATTGCTAATGTTTTATTTGTTTCTTTTGTTGTTGTCGTTGTTTTGTTTTTAATTTTTTCTTTTTTCCTTGCTTTTCTTTTTTTTTTCTGACGTCAAGGAGTCTGATCAAAATATTCAAAAAGCGGGATCAAACACAGAAATATATTTTCTGTCCATGCACCGTTGAAGCGTCTCCTCACTTGCGACTCTTGCCCCCAAGCTGTTAAGGATGCCAATTTGAGAATGCATCACATCAGAAAATCATTACAAATACGCATTTATATACACTCACTGAGGAGTAGATCGAAAACAATAATGTCACGTATACTGTCCCTTCTACACCAAGTAAGAGCCCATTTTTTACATCGGCTCAAACTGGCGCGCACTTCATAAAAATGCACTTATCCCCTGGAAAAGGTTGCGATAAACGAAGGTTACGAGGCCGGCG